ACATGAGCGAGGATGAGCGCATACAAGGTTTCTCGTTCTCATGTGCACGATTTGAGACCTTCCTTATATTTTTAGTCGCTATCAGGCTCACCCTCTGCGAACTTGCTACAGCCCGCCACCATACACCACCTCTCGAGTGTTCTCCATTTAATAACAATGTCGGATCACACATTCCACATCATGCAGTAGGTGATTGTGTCGAGTACGTCACTGTTGACATGCTTTAGGCGAACGCTCATCGATACATAGTGCACTCTCTCGGAGCGCTCAATTTTGGTCTAGCTACTCTGGGTATCTGCGAGAAATCCGTGAGGCTGGGTCATTTCTTGGCTGTTCTGCTAATAGTTGGGATCAGCCCAGCTGTGCTTCGCGTTTCGTCGATGGATGGAAATCGGTGCGTTCCAGCATAGATGGTAGCTGTCGATCTCACGTTTCACCCCTTAGACACTGCAAAGGATATCTATAGAAACATAACGATGGAGAAACTTGCTCTGATTCGATTTTTTCTCGAACAGCAAAGGGAATTCACAGCTGCACACCAGAATTGGGAGCGATCATCTACAGTTAATGAAATTCCCCAATAAGCACGATTGACCAGCTGATTCCTTCTCACAGGACCTGCGCGATCTTATCAGCATGTTGAAATCGACTAGCGGTAATATACGCGACGTCGCAGATGTGACATCTACTTCCATAATTCAAAATGCGCAATCAGTAGGCGACCTTCTGATCTCTCAGATACAGCCATTGAAGAAGCCCTTACAGCTGTTCACAAAGATGGAAACTACCCTGTCACTTATCAACCAGCGCAGTTTCGATGATCATATTCATTCATTGGACAAGGTACTAACCTATCTACGGCTTATCGGTGAAAGCTGACATTCCCAGGTTGATCAGAGGATTGATGACCTGACATTAAGCGTATTGTTCTCATTCTCTGGGCCTTCAAATCGTTCCTGAAGGAATATGCAGCATTCAAAATCCTTGTCGTCGCTACTATCACTCGTCGAATCGCGTTTAACCGCTGAAATTGAAGCAATCGCATCATTGATATCAGAGCAGAGCCTTGAATCTCGGGCAGTCGCGGTGCGGTCGTCTGAATACTTTCCTCAACATTCTTCTAATTGAACCCCAGGATCAAGTTCAGCAAAAATGGTCCGCGCTTGACGCGACTTTCTTTGCTATGCAAAACGTGACTGGTTTTTTGTTTCATTTTGATCGCAGGTTGACATCATCTGCAATCTAGTCCTTTTACGACCTGCAGAGTATGATCACAGGGCTTGCATTCTCTTTGGAGACCTCCCTTTCCCAAGCAATGCATATACAAGAGATCCAGCGAGAGGTTGCAGAGTCTGTTTCACTTCTTGACAACAGGATTTCCCAGCTCACGGAAGTGACTCACCGTGAACTTGAAACAATCAATCAGACGGCCCTTGCCCTCATTGACACCTTTCAGCGCAAGTCAAAACACGAAGCTTGGCTAATTAACCTGCAGTGGCTTCTACGTTTTGTCGAACCCAGTTTGTGTTGCTATTAATTGTGCTCTTTTTTCTGACATATTACGTTAGCGTCGTTGCTCGGCCTCAAGACTTTTCAAGCTGTAACCAGTCTCTTGGTATTCCTCTGGCGTCTTCTGGAAGTGGCACTGTCACTTCTCATGGTAACCCGAGGCTTGACACTGTTGTTTTTATTTTTCTGATGTGACTACCGCAGACTAGTGTCGCAGTTTCCAGCATCAGAAGTCAACTGTCACTCAAGTTCTGTGGTTCAAAACAGGTGCAACCGCAAGAAAGTTCATGGCGTCTCGACTCTCACCTGGAGACAAATGTGTCACCTTTCTCGAATGTTAGGCGTCTGCAACGGAATGACTGTCTGGACCCACGGATCATTCGGCGACTTACTGGACCTCGCATATCTCGCATACCCGATAGGATCTGTCGTCGACCCGACCCTTATTAAACATTGTTACAATTCTCTCTTACCACTTTATGTTTCTGTATTCTCTTTGCGTTAATTCAGAAAGCACAATGGTTTTCCATACATTCCTAAGGCCTTGACAGGAAACCTCCATCAAGGGTGTGAACTTTCGTGGATGCTCGTTGATGTCGCCCAATCAATTCAATTTCATGTTTGTTATGTTAAGCTATTCTTATTTTGCTCGGCAGTAGTCCCAACGAGTCATGCTGGTCGTTCGCGTGATACGCCCGATCGGCGAAGCCGAAGTCTGCCAATGATTCTGATAAGCGCATGAAAAATAAATATAATTATTTATCGTACCCCTCTGCCCCAATAGTATTTGTCATTGATAATCCGGAACGTTAACCGGGTCTATCCTGCTTCCAGCGTCTAACTCCTACCAACTTTCAGCCTTTGTCGTATGTTGTGAGCTGTCATGCTTGCGCACGGTGTCCCTAGGGAGTCCCATATATTTCCACCATCCAGACACCATACTGGCCATATTGGCCCACATGACAACACAATGGACACCTATGCATCCAAACATCAAAGACTTCTACAGTCCTGCGGACAAGAACAGCCCTCAATTACATCAATCATCAATGTCTCTGGTCGTGATAGAGGATCCAAATTATATGTAGCGCCAAAAGGTAACAAGGTATATTTTCTGGCATATTCACTGCATTGTACACCACTCACTAGATTCAGGACTCTTGTGGACAACCTCAGGTCAACCCGTCTAGCTATCGTACAGCTATGGCCTATTCTAAAAATGCTCAACCACACCCTCCTGTGATTCCGCCTCGATTTCAGAAACTGTATGCAGCACCGTGAGTCAGGCTGTTACCCCTCTTCGAAAGTGCCTTTATTTGTGTGCCATAGGACGGGTAAGCCAAATCCAAGCCTTGACTATTCAACTTCTCCCAAGCAGCCATGTATTCCTGTATCTTCCACATGCGGACGAATACCCCTCACCAATTCTTCCATTGTTGACTCGCGATTGTCGTCTCAGCAGAAGTCACAGTCACCTGCACCTGTGAGTCCACATTACACGTGCCTATGAGCCGCAGTTTTTCATGGGCGTTAGATTTTTGATATAAAGGCTGCGCTGTTTGCCGAGGGTATTCACATTGGCATCCAATCGAGTGCTTCACATCCGCAACCTCCCACTGAACCTCATCTCCGCATTGATCAGGTACGATTCAAGTATTCCTTTGTATGAACGAACTAATCAATCCTTATTAAGCATACATCACAAACACTACCAACTCCCACAGAACCAATGTCTCATCATGACACCCAACCCCTAGGAGTCAAACTGGGTAGCCATATGCAAACACTGAATACACCATCCGAACCACCCAAGCGACCCCCAGGTTTGCAGTCGCCTGCTGGTCGAGGTGTCGCATTACCCATGCCGTCAATTAACATCAGCCTTCCTCCACCTTCCAAGGCAAAGGTAGTGGTCAATCTCCTTGGGTTGACCGGACAGTTGATTTAGTCAATGATATTGCAGAAATGGGCTCGTAAAGAACGGTCATCTGGACCTGAGTGCTCGGTTGCAGAACTTGAAGCTGTAACAATCAAACCAGAAACCCCCGAACCTTCAATTTCGTCAAGTAGCGTCAAGCTACCATCCGTTCGGGGGAGATCACGATCGTCGAGCCCGAAACCTTCAATCGGAGGATCGACTGCTCCAACATCATCAAATCTGGCTACGGTGGGCAGTGGTTTATCTCTAGCTCTGACAGTCATATTGATCCGCTCGGCCAGCAGGATATGAAAAGTCCGACAACTTCGAGCAAAGATGAGATGTGTAGGAAATGGTTCTTTCGTGTCTGTGACCGGGGCAGGTGGTGCCCCTATGCCCATACAATAATACCGACCAATCTCACTTGCAAGCTTTGGCTGAATGGGGAGTGCAATCGGCGGCAGTGTCCTTTCGCCCACAAGCATCAGGTAAGTTTGACACCGTCACGATTTGAACGTAATGATGACCCACACTCAGAGTTCCAACGGTCCTGTCAGTAATCAACTACCTGCTCAAAACGACGATCCTCAAGATGTTGTGCAAGTTGCCGATGGTCCCATTAAAGATCAACCTCCTGTTCGAAATGGCAACGTTCGAGACAGCGTGCAAGTTCCCGACCATCTTGTTAAATATACACTGCCTATTCAAACCGGTAACACTCAGGACAGCGTGCAAGTTCTCACTGGTCCTGTTAAAGATCAACTACCTGTTCGATATACGGAAATTCCCGACCATCCCGTTAACGACCAACGAAACGGCAAACCTCGAGAGGGTGGTAAAGTTCCTGAAGGTTCTGTTAAGAGTCAAGCACCTGTTCGAAACGGCGGCGCTCGAGGCACAATAGATCAAGGTATTTTATCTGCTTACCTTAGCATAGCTAGCCCTCATCCCGATACCCCCAGACTCAACTCGACCTCCATCTTCTGACACGTCCAGCAGTGTTCAGTGCTCCATGACACAAGTCCCGCCCTCGGGAACAACATCCCGTGGGTCAGAACGACAGTCTCAGGCGGCTTCGACTAATACCACACCAGAAAACACGGGACACAAGCCATCCAGCAACGTATGTGCATTCCTCCTGTCTCATTTCTGGCGCTCATCCCGTGAAGCCCGATGGTCATCAACCGAAGCAAGTTTGTCGTAACTGGTTGCGCGGTCGCTGCCAGCGTCGAGCATGCCTTTATCTGCACGAACGTCCTAACGATGTGAGTGCTTTGAGTTTGGTAATATGCATCACTCCCTAACATATGGTATCAGAACACATCGGGCACTCAACTATCTGTCCGAAACGGCGATCCTCAAGATGTCGTGCAAGTTGCCGACGGTCCCGTTAAAGATCAGCCTCCTGTTCGAAATGGCAACGTTCGAGACAGCGTGCAAGTTCCTGACCGTCTTGTTAAATATAAACCGCCTGTTCAAACCGGCAACACTCGAGACAGCGTGCAAGTTCCCACTGGTGCCGTTAAAGATCAACTACCTGTTCGAAATAATAACCCTTGTACGGAAGTTCCCGACGGTCCCGTTAACGACCAACGAAACGGTAAAACTGGAAAGGGCGGTAAAGTTCCTGAAGGTTCTGTTAAAAGTCAAGCACCTGTTCGAAACGGCAACACTCGAGGCACAATAGATCAAGGTATTTTATCTGCTCACCTTAGCATAGCTAGCCCTCATCCCGATACCCCCAGACTCAACTCGACCTTCATCTTCTGACACGACCAGCAGTGTTCAGTGCTCCCTGACCCAAGTCCTACCCTCAGGAGCAAACTCCCGTGGGTCAGAACGACATTCTCAGGCGGCTTCGACTATTACGACACCAGAAAACACGGGACACAAGGCATCCAGTAACGTATGTGCATTCCTTTCCGGTTTCATTTCTGGCACTCATCCGGTGGTCGCCAGCCGAAAGTTTGTTATGACTGGTTGCAAGGTCGGTGCATGCGTCACTCTTGCTCTTTCCCGCACAAACGCCCCAATGATGTGAGTTCTATGAGCTTGGTAATATACAACTCTCTAACATATACTACTAGAACGTATCGCAAAAGAATGCTTCATCACCAGTTCGGAATACTTGTGCCGATGGCGCACCAGCGTCTGGCAACTCCCCATCACGACACCTACCGCCCAACCTGCCACCCCCTACCATACGTCGCAATGAGGATCTTGTCATGCCCGTGACAATCGCAGATCATATCACAGTGAAACTTCGTAGTGGTTTCGATGTCCAGGACGTGACTACTGGATTTGAAACACGTTGGGTACACCTTGGAGACGTGTCACCGGACGTCAAGGAATCCCAACTCCGTTCCCTTTTGAAAGCATATCAAGTCGACGAATTATGTATTCCGGATGGAAAGGATGTCAAGCGGTTGACCGTCAAAGTGCAGTTTTCAACCGCAGCGCAAGCTATGGAGGCTTCGGTCGCCCTTCATGGACGCCAAATCCAGGGGAGGAGACTCACTGCGAAGCTGACTTTGAACACTACCGCATGTCGTACCACAGTGCTCAAAGACACCGCTGTCCGTATCACCTGGAGTGCGCCCCAGCGCGTCGGGTACGCAGGGTATGCAACCCTTAATGAGGCCAAGGCTGCGATTGCAGCCGCCACTGGATTGGTGATGAGGGACAACGTTCTCACAGCCGCCTTGTACGAAGGATTACCCGCAGTTGGTGTTTACAACGTCATGTTTTCTCATCTTCCTCCCGATGCAGAGAGAAAGGATTTGGAGCAGTTCGGCAACGCAGAGTCTATCTTACTCGAACGCCCCAATTACGAGTCCCTCGAGAACGCTCGCCATGCAGTACTTCGGATATTGCAGCCATGCGGCAATCTGTCCAATTTCGATCTGGTTCTTCCTATCTGGAACGGTACTGTTCTCGTTTGGGCAACCTTTGAGACCCACGCAGATGCCAGCAATGCCAGGGATCATCTTGATGGCCAACGTCCTCGTGCAATTGGAGGAAAAACTTACATATCCGCTCGGCACGTGCAGTCACTCAACTTCTCATTGCCGTTGAGCAAGTTTAAGATGCTGGAAGAACATATTGCTCGCCTTCGGTGGACGTGGCGGACAAGGTTCAACCATGACGTAGCTCTTGTTGACCGCCTGACATCGCCTGATGGGCCTGTTCATATCAGGATATCGGCCGAAAACGTGAGCAATCTTGGGATTGCCAAAGCAGAATTTGAACAACTTCAAAATGGTGAAGTTGTAACTCTCCAGAGGAAACCCATATGGGACAGATTCTTTTCTGAACCATCCGGCCACTCATTCCTTCGTGAGCTAGAGAGCCGATACACTGGAATTGGATTACGAACTCGGATGGGCAAGATCTTACTTTTGGGCCCAATTGAACAGCGTCAGCTTGCTCGAAAAGATATCATGACGCGGTTCCAAGAATTACAGGCGCGAAAATGGTGGCGCATTCCTCTATCAGGCAGGGTAGTTGGTCCATTTATAGGCACAGACCTTGTGACCCTCCAGAAAACCCTTGGTCCTGAGAACTGCTACGTCCATTACATCTCGAATCAGCGCAATCTGGTCGTTCGAGGTAACGAGCAGGCTTACCGTATCGCCTGTGAAGCGGTGGAAAAGGTACAAAGCCGCTATGCATATAGTTCCACGCCATCCCCCGAATCTGTCTGTCCTGTTTGCTTCACTGAAGCATCGGTCCCAGCCATTCTCACCTGCGGACATATTTGGTGCACGTCTTGCCTCGAGAGTTACCTTGTGTCCGCAGTTGAAAACAAGACATTCCCTCTCACCTGCCTCGGCGCTGACGCCTCGTGTACGGAACGCATCTCTACCGCCCTCGCCAAAAAGATCCTTTCTGGTGATGATTTCGCTGCCCTGTGTGAAGCATCATTTTGGTCATATGTTCACGCGCGGGCGGACGAGTTCCACCACTGCCCAACACCAGACTGCTCTCAGGTATATCGTGCAACTTCTGGCGGCGTCGTTCTCCAATGTCCATCTTGTTTGGTTCGCATCTGTTCTGGTTGCCATACGGAGGCTCATGATGGGCTCACCTGTGACGAGCGGGACAAGGCAGAGGACAAGCTGTACCATGAATGGGCAGCCACTCATGATGTCAAAAACTGCCCTACTTGCAGGACTCCAATAGAACGGAGCGAAGGTTGCAACCATATGACTTGCATCAGATGCCAAACCCACATCTGCTGGGAATGTCTGGCAACGTTCCCGAAGGGAGATGGTATCTATGAACACATGCGAGAAAAGCATGGTGGCATTGGGGTAGAATTTCTGTGATCACCCATTGGTTGATATGTTCTTTTGTCTTGTTTCATCTTATTTTATGCCTCTTCTCAAGGCTTGCGTTGCTTTCCATTTGTCCCACCATCTGTGTACCATGAGTTGTACTTGTATCAATATTCTTTGGAGGGTTCTGTCCTGTCTGTGGCATTTATGATTCTATTTATACAATGTAATAGATCTGTTGTATGCTCTGGTACTCCAATAATCGCTCGGAGTAAATTATCCCTCCCATCCTCAATGATAACTGTAGACAACAAACTAAGTCCCATCAGCCACGTTATCGATGAAGAAAAATGCACAACACTCACGCTATCATACGGCTGCGCTGGAGGCCGTCCATGATATGGTAAACTCGCAGGTAACTCTGGCCTCTCCGCCAAATACGGCACAAAGACACCATACTGATCTCTATATCCTTCCGTCTCGCTGGGATAATGCTGCAACTCCGGAGGATACGCCCTGTTCACTGGTGCATACACGACATACGAATTCGCCGTGAGGTAGTCCCCACGTCGGTTCCAGAACCCCTTGCGTGTGCGTCGCGTATAGTGCGCAGGCTCTGGGGACTGAGGAGGCGGTGCAGACGCAACTGGGTTAGGGCGCTCCATCGGCGGTGGGGGGAGAGGATTCGAGGACCGCGAACTATTGTTGTATGGCGTCAGATGATTCGCTCTTTCGTACGATCGGCTTCTTTCTCTGCGTCGCTCGCGGTCTCTCTCCCGTTCACGTTCAATCTCTCGCGTACGGACACGATTACGCAAAGGTGAGGATTCTGGCGATTCCTCGTCTGAATCTGGAGGTGCAGATAGAGGATGAAAGTAGTCTTCTGAGCTCTCATGGCTAGACGACGGCATGGACTCTGGAATGGTCGATAAATGGGCCTGAGGAATTACAGGCTCTGTCCTACTCCGTGACAATGAATGAGGAGCAACAGATCTTTGTACAGAGTTAATGAGGGGGCTCAGTACACTACTCATATCCTCCGTAAACGTGGACAGCGAACCCATAGAGGACGGTGATGTCGTGGTTGGGAGTGAATGATGCCGCGAAAGGGGTTCCGGAACTGAAAGGCCACGGGAAGCAGTGCTCGCACTCGCTTGAGGAGCTGAAAAGGAGCGTGATAGATGGTCGAGAGTCTCATCGGTATGTCTACGTGCTGGATAGCGTGTAGGGGTCCGCACAGCATTGGATGAAGATGTCGTTTGAAAGTCTGACCTAGTCATAAATGACTCTGGCTCTCTCGTGAACACGGGTGCCTGAAGAGGCTGTTGTACGCGGGTTGCTGATGACGACATGGCTGCTGTTGTAGACGAAGATGAAGATGGCGGTGCTGGAAAAGGGGGTACGTATTGTGGTCCGGTCGATGATGACCGACTTGAATAAATCGAATTTATACGACCGTGGGACGATGGTGGTGGCGGGGTTGCTGAAGAGATGGAATGTTGGCTCAAGCCCCCCTGTGAGCGGGACCCGAGGCTGTCTACGGAACCATGTCTCGAAGACGGATGACTGTAAAAATAGTCTCGCATAGGTGTGCTTGTGCTTGTAGTGTTATGGCTGTCCTGCGAACCTCTTTGTGATGGCCCATAACTGGTCGGGGTCAAATTACTCCGAATACTATCTTGCGAGCTGCGACGATTGTTGAAGTCTCTCGTCGGGGTAGCCCGGTCTGTTCCCTCGGTCGACAACAGACTCGGAGGATTCCATATCCACGGAGTTTGTGGTGCGGTATCGCCTTGTACATCCCTTGTAGATTCTCGATCACGATCTGTTCTACAGTGTCCTTCAAGCTGGATCATCTTTGAAGGCCAAATCACGCACGCACCTTGCAGGGACCATATTCTCCAAACCAAGACCATTTTCGGAGAGCTGTGTCCTCCAATAGCTCGGGCTTGCAGGACGGGGGACGCGCTTGTAAGGATTAAAGTTAGCAGGGACATTTTGAGCCCACCCCATGCCGGGTGCCCAGTGAACACCGGGACCTGCACCATTCATGTTGTAGGCAGGGTTATACTGCCAAAAGCCAGCTTTCCAATGTGGGTGAGTGTTGGCGCCAGGCGGCATGGGTGGCGGACCAGGAAAGTTTGGAGGAAGAGCGACGCCAGCTGGTGGGGGCCAGGTGCCTTGCCAACCCTGTGGGATGGGTTGTTGCTGCATGAGTTGTGGATTGGGGTGCCAGTGTCCTCCTGGTTGAGCCATGACGAGCTTTTGGTAGATAGTATGACAGTAAGTTCAGATTTCAGTTACAAGGACGAAGGAGCGTACTAGATCTATGCACACACTTGTGACGGACACTTGAATTAGAAAGCCAGAAGGGTATCGCAAAGAGGGAGTGATCTTGGCTGGTTTCTACAGCTTGACGTCGACTACGACGAGTAGCAGTAGTAGTCGCCGGCGATACAATGAAGAATGAACTTATAACGCAAATTGTACTGGGTATCACTAATTTTATCCGATGGAACGAGGGCAACACCGCCAGATGTTGGCCAACACGGAGGTCAAACGAGCACTAGCACTGGCGAGCCTGCGGCAGAGACTGTGACGCGGCTGCTTAAGATGCAGGACTCGGAACAAGGTTTCAAATTTACACAGCATACATACAAATTTCATGCCACCCGGATCTGTTTCAAGAAGCCTAACGAGTTATCTACCAGTACTAGCTGTTTTGCATTGGAAGCGCCTACTTATTACAATTACTAGGATATGGCAACATCAAAGGACGATGAGCTCTACATGGAAACTGGAAGCGAATTCACCAACGGAAGCAAATCAGGCTCAATCCGGTCATAGCGGACCGTCCACCGGGATACGATCGATCAACGAGACGAGCAAGGTAAGTCGTTGCGGCGCTCCAAGTTTCTCTTCACTCTACCTCTTCCAATGAACTGATCGGAACAGTTCGCTTATACAACTGGCCTTGTAACCGATCTCGGGGCAACCCAATACCGGCACCACGGCTACAAGACTGTCGACCGTTGACGTCCATCAAAAGCCAGCGCCGACTTCATCGTGCCATCCAGCCCTTGGTGTGGTGCCTCGGAAATTTTTCTAACAAAACAATCAATAGATGTTGTTAATTCCAAGTGGGCTGGAGGTGCACCTACTTACAATCGTGGTGGACCCAGAATAATGGAAGTGTGAGGATTGATGCGACCTTTGTATCCGATGGAAACCGCAGGTGCCCTTCCCGTTCGCGAATGCAGTGGGAAGTAGGGAAGTATTATAAAGGTTAGGAGAAAATAGTGCCACAGCATGTAAATCCTTAGCATCGCTCTCATCTCTGCCTGCACTGACCTGCTGCGATTCCGAAACCTGTCATCGATTTGAGAAGCAGGTGGGATCGAAAGAACTCCTTCTAATCGGCGCTGGACAAGTGTGCAGTATTTGCAATGTGAGATACCAAGACGGCGTCCTCTAATATGACATTCGACCAGCCTTTGTCGAGAGTACGACTGGATAGAGGTGCCAGCATCGTGATGGTCCTTATTCAAGCGCTAATAGTGATCAGTAATCCCGACTTGACGCCGATTCAGACGGCATTTCCCGCTCGCTTGCTCTACTAGACTACGATATTCTCAATGCCGCACTTTGAACGCTCGACTTGTACTCGAGTAACTCGACCTACCTGGGTACGAATTACTGGTCTACGAGATCTCACGGACAAGTAAGCAAATAGTTACTGGCTCCTTTTTTTAGCCAACTTCCAAAGACTTTTCGATGGTCCGAAAACCGATGAGCACGGCTTGATGAGTATTTCGCGGACCGTGGCGCTTAACACCTCATCACCATAGCGTCGACAACGCGTGTCTGCGGCACATCGATGACTCAGTATGCTATGTGACTATCCAGGTCATCTTTGTTACTGGAATATGATACACCACGCTAAGTCATACCAACCGAGAATCAGATTACACTGACTCTGCAGAATCGTAATGATATTCTGTGGCTCCGCAGAAGCGATCTGTCTATTGTCTCGGTATCCAAGCGTACACCATGAAACTCTCACGACTGCTGACTCGATCTTTCGGATTACTAGATCTGTCTGAACTTCCCGAGTTTCTGACTCGTTGCAAGAATGTAAAAGGACAAGCCTGGGTGGTGGGCGGGGAGCAATTGGCTCTGTGTCGCCAACCCAAGATCGTACATGGCGATCTTGGCAAGATTGCGTACCGGGTTTCAAAATACACCGTGTCACCACTCCAAGCCCCACCGGCGCCACCGCTCACAACAAATGATCTTGCCTTTCGATTCTCAATCGGACGAATTAGAACGATCACACCTAGGCGATGATGAGAAAGTGGACGAGCTCTAGAATGTTGAGTGACTGTATAACAAAATATACAACACACATAATCCGTCTGAATGATACACAGATGCGCACGAGCTATGAGCTTCATGGCCATAGACATAGGTGTAAGTCATGGATAGCTAACACGGCGATCACATTGTTGAGTTGGAAAGATAGTGCCAGGTCACTCAACTGAAGAGGCGTTCGAAAGAATATGCATACTCGATCCCAAAACCGGGAGCAAATCAACCCACCATCCTAGTGGGCGCTGAATCGTCCTCTCCAGGGTATGCACTTGGCGTTGCATGGGACATCATCTGAATCCTTCCACACTACAAGCGACTGCACGGACGTAGGCAACGCCATGCACTCAAATGGATTCTCAGATAGTCCAACTACCTGGCCAGGAGCGACTGTGCAAATGGCAAGACGGAGATATTGTTGGAAATTCGAACAATCGACGAGAACCATTTGCAGCTGGGGGAGGTCTTGCGAGCGCGAACTGAGGTTTACCCTTCGTGAGTTCAGCGAGGACCCACCGCTCCGAGTTGGACTCTTTTCTTGGAGATCTAAACAAAGGACGGTAAGGACTGAATTCATATTTGCCACCGTATCTACATATTGTAAGGACGGAGCGATTCCTAATTGGTGTCGATGCCGTGTGCGCGCTCCACTTTTAGAGCGGCGGTAGCCCCCCACAGTTTAATGTTTGATCCTGAACCAATTCGCGTTTACCCCACGTGCGCGCTCCACTTGAGGTCATTTGTTTCACCGATTGGAGGCGTTACGCGACAAAGTTCCAGTGATCAGGCGAGTGCGTGCTCTCCCCAACGTTCATGGTTGCGACTCAGCACAAGAAGTTTATCCATGGGTTGTTTGGGAAGTAGTTGAGGGTAGTCGCTATGCGCAATACCTGCCAGATGTCAGTCGTTACGTTGAACAGAGAGCCTAAATACTTGAATATGCTCCTGACCACTGAGTAAGCAGTGCTATACAGGCTGATTGTCAGGAAGATCGCTACCAGAGCATGCATTTAATGGTGGAGAAAAGATGACATATGTACAATATAGCGATGTGACACCATAACCCTGTGATTCCAAGTGCAAACTATGACAGATCCCGCCGTCAGCTGTGAAGAAACAGCGACCACCTTAGTGTGAGATATCATATTCGCACGCTTAATAGTCAACATCCTCCTGAATGAGCGCCACGGCTCTCGCAGAGCGAGGCTTGATAGAACACTTGAAAGGTTTGGGGTAGCTACAAGTGCATCTATCTAGACCTGCGGTGGACTTGATAAGATGTACAACATACCTGACTGTGCCTGATGAGGGGTCGATCTCAGGCGTGATCTCGACGCCGTTCTCGACGGCCTTGGAGATATCAAACACGGCCAATGACATCGCGGCGGATAACCAAACTGAGGCATCGGCGAGGTGGAGACCTAAGCAAGTAACGTCATAGTTTGCCCCGGCGCTTCTATGAATTGAGCATACCTGGACAGATACTGCAAGGTAGAGAGTTACATAGCATTCTACCCAAAACTGATTATGTACTTACCGTCTTCCAAAGCCGAAGCAAATTGTGTAAGGGTCTGTCTCAGGCTTCTTTCCGTCACTGGCCAAAAAGCGTTCAGGGCTGAATTGCGACGGGTTGGGATATCTCAGTGGGTCGTTGAGCATGAACCTGTCATAAATTATGTTAGTATATCGAATACGGAGAAACAAGGTCACTGACCAAATGTTAGCAAGAATCAAGGAACCTTTTGGAATGTAGTACCCGTTATAGATGTTGTCCTCGGTCATACGGTGGGGGAAACCTGCCGTTGAGATACCGCTCGGTGAGTAAAGAATGCGTTAAACGATATGCGCGTACCGGCAGCGCCGACAACATTCCAGCGTTGAATTTCTTTTGCGAGTGCCTCAATGTAGGGGAGGGACTCGCGATCGGCGAAGGATGGAAGACGATCGGATCCAACAACAGCGTCTATTTCGTTCTGAGCTTTTTTCTGCACATCAGGGAAAAGTGTCATAGCTAGGAAAAAAGAGTAAATCGAGGGAATAGGCTAATATTGCTCTTAAACATGTCAATTTAACATATAAAGGGAAGGGCCTACCGTGTCGGAACCACCGCTGTATAAAGATAAAGCAGACCACTTCACAATGTGTTCCTCTTCCGCAGACAAAATACGGCCGTGCAACAGATCAGAGGTGAAAGACTTCGGCGCGATGCCAGCCGCCTGTAAGATTGAAACTTTAACGCACGAGCGCATGGTCATGAATTACTCACCATTTGATCCTTGACAAACTCGTAGGGTGCAGAAGCCATTTCATCGAGGGTCTCACACCACTCACGCGCTTTGCGCTTGAAGCTAGCACCAGGAAACCATTCGGGGACATTTGCCACTAAAAATGATAAGGTGATCAGAGGCAAACATCAGATGCTATTGCTTACAGAATGGCATATAATCAACCATGAAGGTACCAAAAATACTCGAACGCGAGAATTGGTGCGTAGCACGGTCTGCAAGGTCAATGAAGGGATCATTGTTCTCTTTCACTTTGTAACCGTAAGTGATGCGCAGAATGATGGCGCCAGCAGTCCTATAAAGATACAACGTTCAACAGTACGCCAATACAAAAATAAATAATACCAACTGTCGGATATGTTCTTGTAGTTGGTCAGGTTTCGTAAACACACGCTTAAGGAATCGGCGAGTCTCAATCTCTTCGATTGGGTGGTGGGTCTTCACAGCGGCGCGGCTACCAATGACGTGGTGTATGTTCTTGCGGTACTGGCGAAGACGGTCATTGTAAGGGAGAAGAGCCAAAGCGTGCTTCCAGCCACAGAGTTCGCCACACATGGGAAGGACAGGGCGGTCGGAGCACACATTACTCTTCTTGTCCAGCATCTCTATTGCAATCCTGGTAGAGTTCACCACCATCATGTGCTGACCCAGAATCTCGACATGCACGATGTCCCCTGCACGCATGGGGTTAAAAATATGATTTTTTGGAGGAAAAAAGAGTCGCTGACCGTACTTCTTGCCCCACTTGGCAAAGGTGAGCCAGGGCTTGATGCGAGGGATATCTTGGATATTCCCAATGAGGGGCCACCCCGTGGGACCAGGGGGATAAGGTGCAGGATTCTTCTTGTTGAACGCTGGCATCGTCAGATACGCTCCGACACCAGTAAGACCTAGAACCAGCCAAGCGACATTGGTGAGTGTTAACATGGTTTGCAAGTAAAAGGCAAACGACTCGAGAGCAAGGTTATGGAGTAGTGATTGGTCATGATACCCACATCAGGCTGTCACCCTCAGAAATACTTAACTAAAGGTGCTGTTTGGACAGCGAACCTGAGGCATCTCGATCCTGGAATATCCGGGCCATCCGACCCATCCGACCCACTTGCATGGTATAGTAATGCAGATCTCCATACCACGTGATCCACAGCCATTGGTCGCGCCGCCGCACGTGTTGCTGCTGACACCGTGACCATGGCTGCTACTACTACCCAGCTAGCGCTCTAGCACTTGCAGATGGAACTCTATCCTGGCACACTGTTGACCCTCAGGACCCTTTTTAGAATGAGTTGAGGCCCAGGGGATGAGGTGGAGGACCCATTGTAGTATTCATTGAATTCAATTATGTGCACTTACTACGATACTTATTCCCTCACTCTGAACAAGCCTGAGTGCCTGAAGGCTCCTCCATCTATGGGGTTTATCAAAATTTTAGGTACATACTTGGATGTACAACAAAGTAACCATAAAACATACATGTCTGACTCTAAATGATTCTTCTGGTTCTGAAATTGAGATGCTGTCAGTGCCAATTATAAGGCATAACGTGCCTAATATTTAATGCACAGATTCAATATTCAATGCTGCAACACAAATGAAAAGAGCCACACTCACTCGGAAGTAGCTTCCTTTCAGTTGTGTCATAGGAACGGCGATGATAAACAAGGCAATCACGAGCCTATCAAAACCGTCAGACTCTTCGAGTGTGTCAAACGATATCACTTGCGCTGCTTCAACACCAAACACCACCAATCCTCCAGATTTTGTAGCCCATGGGACTTGGAAATATGCGACTGCAAAACCTAGGGCACAATTGTGAACGTTGGACAAATCATGCGTCATTGTAACTCACCGCCCAATGCTCTTGCAAGGTTTAACAGGGCGCTGACTTCGCCCTAGAAGGGGAGGTCATATCACTGAAATACAAATAATTATATATGCGTCACTCACAGCCCTACGAGGGAAGCAGTCATTACAATATGCATCTAACAATACTCCTTGAGTTATCCCACGACACTTGAAATATCGGATCCGAGACTTACACACTGCAACAGTGTTGAGGGTGATTGCAACGATCGCAATGCCCCAGCCCATGATGAGAGCGGCTTTGCTGAGATTTTGTATCCCAGCGCCCAGCGTCAAAAAGCCACAGATATAAAGCGGCATGGCTAAGTAGCAGGTCCTACACAAATCCTCAGCTCTGACCTTGGCCATCGGTTGAGTTTGCATACCACAAGCGGCTCTCGGCCTCAAAGAAACCACCGTTTTTGCGAATATGCAGATCCATAATGAATTCATTGACGTAACGTCCAATGAACTCGCCAATAAGGACGGCGACCTGAAAAAAAAATTATGCTAAGAACATTAATCATGCATGCTTCATAGATGGAAAAAACTTGCGATTGGAGTTGCATACGCTCCAGCCACGGCATATTGACTGAAGCCAAATCCGACGGGAGGAGGAGATCCCATGAAAACAACATTTGTCGTCTACAAAAGTCGATAAGTTTATTACTGCAGGTCGAAACGGAAACGCTCACATTCAAGCCGATCGAGAACCCGAAGACCAATGCCTTTCAAAAAGGTCAGCAAATGTGCCAAGTACGGCCAGCAATGCAATTCATCTCACCTCAAAGAGAACTACGAAGAAAAACTGAGGACGCCAAACGACATCCAAAGATGCCAATAGAACTTCCGGCCATCGTGGTCTGTATTTTGCCATCTTATACCCAGTGACGCCCATCAAAGTTTCAAATCGATATCGCAGTCCCGTAGAAATTTGCAGTGGCTTCGATGCAAGGTGGCGATCATACATACTAGTTCAGCAAAAGTCAACGCCACTGCCCTAAGAAACGGTATAACAGAGCGTACGTTTCTTCCATGAAAAACACAATGAGAAGTAATACGATGGCGCTGTAAATAGATCCTATAGCATAGGCCCATCTCCAGCTATCCAACAATGGATGAGTATTCTAAATCAAGGGCAGTATATGTAAGACGTACCTTGCACGCGCTACAAGAAAGCCAAATACAAATGGTGATAAGAAAGGCGATCTATGAGATAGTGAGAAACGTTTCTTCCAATAAAAGGATTCATTCTCTGACATAACAAAACCCGAGGTCCAGATGTTCAGCTTCCGCGCTTGAAGATGGAAGGGGAAGATATCCGTCACGACATAAAGACCCTTGGAGGTTGGTAAATGTTGAAGTTACCATGAGAATTGCCACTAATCGTACTGTCACCTGGGGACACGTTCTGAAACCGTAGTCAGTTTACCGCAGCATAGATAACATGACGACCTGCCCAAAGAATCCAGTCAAACATCGCATCCCTTCATTAGCAGTTAACATTGTCCAACAAATACCGAATTATTGTGTAAATACCTGCAAAGGTGGCTAGATTCGGCGCCAATGTGCCACCAACCAAGAATGCAAGCGAAAAGAGCTGCGCTCAAGTTTCAGGGTTCATATTAGCCAAATCACTGGAAATATATACCTGACTCCAGAAGAGTACTGGCAACCGACCATACCGTCTCATGAGCATGATCCAGAAGATGCCTCCCCAACCTGGACTACAGATGAGAAGAGGCTATTCTCATGTAATGGTGTGATCTCACCCAGAAGGAATATGCTCCAGCTTCAAGGAATTGTCATTGAATGCGAGTAACGATTGAAGCATCACGCACTTTGATGTCAGATCGTTGATGACACTCGAGGTCGTGTCATAAGTTTGAGCGAGGCCAAATATTGACGCGATTCCTGCCAATAAAAGTATTCCATGATGACACCACTATGGATACTGAGCGAGGGCGAAATACATACCAATTCCAGAGTCGAAGTCAGGTACCACTGCAGACATTGTGATGATGATCAGGTGCACAGTCTTGCGAAAATCGGTCCACTACAAATGAATAGCTTAGTGTTACTGAAAGGGACACGATAGTGAGAAATGACAAGCGTTTTGTGGGTCGTTCGGGTCGTCAGCAGGTTGAGGCCAGAGAACCTTCAACCCATCAGGGCTAAGCTTGAGCCCAGATGCCATTACCTCCCCAAACTCGACCTTCGCCTGTCTAGTGAGTCACGAACGAGTCGGAATGAGTTACGATAGACTTAGGATATATGGGAGCAACAACCACATACTCGGGGTCCACTACTAAACGGCCAGAAGCCCGCTCGTAATAAGCAACAAAATCCACGTCGTCGGTAACATCGACTTTGCTTGGGTCATCTGCCTTCGTTTCTGAATGCAGCCGCTGGGAGCTAACATGCTCTAGAGCCATGATTGGTGGTGGAGGTGAGAGTTGGGAAGCAAATTGTAAGGTATCGTCACTCGATACCCATCATCAATTTAAGGCGCAGTACTTACGATGATGATGTGTTTATTTTAATCTCGGGGGCGAGGGGTGCGCAGATTGTGAGGAACGGACAGCCTGTTAAGGTGTGTTCGAGCGAAAGGTACCCTGGTATTACTCGGATCTTCACTCAATCCGAGCAAACAAGGTATAATAGACAACAGACCCTAACAGACCTCGAAAACAATCTTGAGTTTGGCTCCCTTTTTTCCTTCGCGATACACCGCCCGGATCAGCCATTTCGAGGACTATGACCCACACGCATCGGTGAACCGCTCGTCATATTCATTGACATCTCCGATACTTAGGCCATCCAAAGCTACAACAAAACACTTCAACCCGGTTACTAGATAGACTTATGTTTTCATCCAGAACTGTTCATGACATTTTTCAATTGGCACAATGCATGAATACATCATTCAAGGATTAACTGCCACGGAGTCAGCAATGAACGTAGTAATAAAAACAGTGACGAAGGAGGGACACTGACGAAAGAAAGACAATAACAAAAGAAAACCGAGCAAGACGCGGATTAACACTGCAGTGAAGCAAGAGATGGGGGAAGAAAGACGAAACGTGAATAATCATGCAAGCGTTTGGGTCTTATCGGTGTGAATGATGTGAGAACCGACATCGATACTGGCTCAGCGCTCAGGCCTCAGGGATTGAAAGAAAAGAGGATGAACCAAGGGTGACGAGGTACCAGATGGCAAACCGAGCGTCAGCGCTCGGTGAAAATCGACCACGCCCCCACTAATATGTATATACAAAGGGCATAAACTATGACACCGGGATCTGGGAAATTGGAAATGCAGCTACAGTGTTGACTCACTGTGACATGAACATAATACTCAACTTGACGCCAATAGACATGTGAGACCAGGGAGATTTCAACGTAGCACTGAACACCAGTATCATTGGTTCCCAGTCATTTATCCCAACAGAAAAGGATTGACCTTGACTGAGATTTCAATGAGGCTATAACTTCGCTATAAAGTTGATAGAAAGCCGGACAACTCCGTATCCCACAGGGTCACAGGCTATTATCCCAAAAAGGAATCGAACAATAAAGTTACTCAATAGTCCAATTATAGTCTTATACCAGGGCTTCACCTCTCCTACTTCGTCGACCCTGCCTCCCGGCCGTGCCACTACTAAGAACTGTAATTGGACTATGTCATCAAAGGAGAGTTTCACGACGAGCAGCCTCTCGCTGAATCTGAATGAGGACTGGGACCGCTCAAGTGATATCATCATACCTCAGACGCAAGTACCACGAAATTCTGTACTGGTTCCGGGCGAAGAGGCACAGGACAACTGCAGCACACCTGGGGCGAATAGAAGTAGGAAAAACAGGTCGCTGAGTGAGCTCATGCGGCTCCATGCCGAGAAGGGGACCAATGTGATTTTCAACGTCGAGGAAGCGAGTCGTGTAGCAGATGTTCTCAAGCAGTGGGTGAGTCATGGGGCACCGTCTCCCCCACCTAACGTTTGGCTCATCGAATGTTCTGACACAGATAAATTCGGGCACTTCTCCGTACGAGGGCGAGGATGACTTCTTTTCTCGTGCAAACGATGATCTGTCACTTGGTGCGAAACGTTCGTTGCAATCGGGAGACTCCAGTGGCCGAGCGAGAGGACAGAGCGAAAGTGTTGTCTCGCGATAGTCTTCGCTGAGATCACTTTCAGTTTCGCTCTCCAATGTCCATCCGGTCTTTCATAACCCTTTAGATGATAGTTTACGACCTCTGACGATACTGATGATTTTCATGATGATCATATACTCTACTCTACGACTCGATCAGTCATATTACTTATAAGTTACTTGGCACTTTTCTCAAATTCTTCGATTTACGAAGCCAAGTCTGTATGCATATATTTGGTTAGGTATTACTATTATGACGTAATCAATGAACTTGGTACAGTCACGTGCGATGCAAACCGTGTTCTAGGACAAACCATTTCAAGACCGCGCCGAATGTGAAACTTACTATTAGACGGATGCTGAAGAGTCCGAGAAAGAAGTGTGTGACGGTGAGTGTTTTGAAGTGTAACAAGTACTTGATTGTTTACGAATTAATAGCCATCACGTCCGCCGCGGAGGAATGGATCGAGGCAAACCAGTGTAAAGAGGGAGCCACCGGAGATCAACTTGAGTGCAATGAGACCCCCCAGCCCAACAGAAGACCCGCTTCTGCTGAGTGCAAGACATTTCGGGTCAACAACCAGTTCTAGATCGACCCCTGTTTTCTTAAGCTCGTCACCGCATAGACATGCCGACGTTCGGGACACCCAATCACCCGAGTGGACGGACACCGAATCGGAAGGCGAGGGAGAGTACACAGGGCGTTTCAAGATGTTTCAAGTACCTACGAAGGCGGACCCACCGACTAGTGGGACAAAGGCCCGCATGAAGGAGTGGGGTCGGCCAGTCAGCCCATTTCCGTACGAGGCACGACTAGACAGGAGCTTGCCTGATCCAGAGGATATGGAAATTGCAGATAGTGAGGATGAAGGCATGGAAGGAAATATCTTGGATGCATTGGATATTGAGAGTGTGTTCGAGGATATCGTGGAGGTGCCACCTGGTTCCGACGATCTATCCAGCGATCTGTCAACCAGTGATCTTCATACCAGGGTAGAAGAGAGTGAAGATTCAGATGTGGACGTCGAAAGCGACGTAGTACGCATTACAGGGAGCGATCCAAATGCTGCAGCGAGAGCCGCTGCGATCTTGAAATTAGTAAGTATCTCTCTTCAATCTCTACAAGTTAAAGTTTTTTTGACCAATCCAGCATGACTACGACTGCGTATTGGCGTCTTCCAGGCCCGCTGCTGCACGTAAGTCGCGCACAACGTTCCCTAGCGCAGGCGTCGGGAAACGCCGCAGCTCGATACCATCTCGGCCTTCCAGTGCAACATGCGGCCAACCTCGTTATAAGCCTAAGGCGGGCGAGTGGAGGCGTGAAGACTGGAAACTTTTGGATAAATGTTTTTTTGAGGAGTGCCATGTCAACGGAGTTATCACCTCGCCCAAGGATGTGAACAGAGAGGCGGTGGTGATGCGATTTCAATGTCTTGCTGGAGGTCACGATGTTGTGACGGGGCTGGGTCCCCCATGGAGTTGGTTTGTACTTCCTGACAGTTTTCGCTGTCCCAGCTGAGTTGACACACACTCAGGGAGAACTTGCTAGCAAGAGTAGATGTGCTTATAAAAAAGCGGGCTGCGCGAGCCGATCTCTCAACATTATCTTTTGCCAGTTTCATGTCCCCGGATGTGTCCAGGCTGGCAAATTTCACATCTACACCGGTCTCGCACATACCACGGTACCGTGACCTCTTCGACCAAGCCGGTGCTATTGACCCGACGAATATTACCATATCTACATCATCTTACTCAGTTAGGCCTCAACCGACTATTGTACCACCAAATCATCTAGCAGAAAAGACGGGATTCTTTTCCAGGCTTCCGACATGGGCATCATTTCTTCCTCGCCGTGAATATGTTAAACCTGATGACCACCCCGACTGTCCTCCCTTACCTCCTCCGCCAACAGATCTCATAGACCGTCGCAAGCCCATTACGACACCAGCGCGGAAACTTTCGGAGCGGCAGAAACCGCACAAGGATTTTGTAAATCTTCACCATACCACACCTCCACAGAAGCATGTACAGCTGCGCAGGAACAAGCCTAAACGCCTCGTGGAGCTCCGTCACATATCGCCAGAGCCCGTCTTCACAAGTGATTCCCGGGCAAGACGGAGTAGCGGTGGTAGCGTCAAGGATTTGATCCAATGTTTTGAAGAGGCGAGTGATCTTACTGGTTCTATACAGATTTCTGCAAGTGCCGTGCAAAGTAGGCTTCCTTGGCAACCATAATTATGCATCGAGAGTTATCTATATCATTGTATTCTCAATCATTATTCTAGCAACACGTACATCAATAAGACTTGGTTTCAGGTTTCTGAAATCGGGTTGGTTGAAATCAACCAAATGGAAAAGGCGTTTTTGATGGGCGTGGACTTCAACCTTTACATTTCGAGGAAAACATATGATTCATGGACACACCTATTAAGGGGGTTCGTCCACGCCAAAGACAGTGTCGTAGATGGCAATTGTCATAGTCATACTCGACCGATGTCCGCGGCACCGATTCGATCCTACACATTGTATGTACATTTATTCGGCGTGAAATAATTTGACTTGTTTGCATGACCCTGCCAGCCTGACACGCACATTGTATATACATTTATTCGGTGTGAAATCATTTGAGCCGTTTGCACGATTCTGCCAGTCTGAGATCCACCTTACAATGGGAATGAGAGATTTTTGACCACATGCAAGTCCGGACCCAAGGGTTTGGTAAAATAGAGCATGCTCAACTAGTTTAGTAAATGTCCTCATGACTGATGCGAGGTGGGATGACGACGACCAAAGGAAAATTCAAAGAAAAATCCGCAGCAGCTCAATCCTTGATAAGAAACATCTCCCATCCCACCACCTGCTCCTTGCGTTCCTGTTGTTTGCCCTTGAGACCCTTGTGTCCCTGGCACAGCCTGAGATTGACCTGCTTGCGTGTCCGTCAGGCGTCCTTGAGACGACTGTGCGCCCGACACAGCTTGAGATTGACCTGGTTGTGCGTTCGTCGGGAGTCCTTGAGACACTTGTGTTCCCGACACGGCCTGAGAATGACCTGCTTGCATCGAACTGCCATTTGTATGTTGCGCAGCTAGTGCAGCCGCTTGTGCGCGGGCCAAATCTGCTGCGCTGGGAGGGGAAACATAGATTCTCTGCCGATGTATTAAGTTCCATGATATCAAAAAAGGAGCAATGGAGGTCACTCACATTTTTCTTCCGACCGGCAGCTACTTCAACGGTATGTATGGAGCTTCCCCCTCGAAATAAGTTGAAATTCCAACGTCGGGGCTCGCGTGGTGTTGATTGAGGCGAATTCGGAGGTCGCGTGCCGACACGTGGGGAACGGAACAACCGACGAAGAAGAGACAACGCACTTGCAGGGGGAGCTGGCCCATGGTTTCTATCGCTACCAAAGAAATCATTGCCCTGTATCAAATGAATTTTAGCCAAAGCTAAGAATTGAAAAATAATACTAACATATCTCCCCACGCTTCTATTGTTTGCGAGCTGTCGTGAGGGGAAGGTCTGACAACATAAATCAGCGAAGGATCAGGTTGTTCACAACTGCTTGGCGCACATCTAGCGGTCGGATTGGACGTTTCTAGTAAAAAGGTGACATCAAATGTGAGAGAGATATAAAAGACTGGCTTACCTTGAACTTCGCGTCGGGCCCTGCATTGGCGTCATCCGTACCCTAAACAACAGCAAAAACCTTCAGAATAAAGAAAAGACGTGGAAGTACAATGCAGAAGCGCACACCCTGCTGTTTGAGCGCTGCCTCTACGTTCCATATATAGACCTTTGTGTCTAATCCAGCGCTGGCAATATATTTGCCATCAGAGGACATGGCAACAGTCAAGAGTTCGTCATCATGCAAGAGCGGGTCTCCGACCGGCTGGTTGGTTCTGAGGTCCCAGATGCGCACAGAGCAGTCTTTTGATGCGCTAACAAGATGGATTTGATCAGGGGAAAGACAGAAAGAGTTGATGGCATTGGCATGACCGTGAAAAACAGCGAGCTCCTTCCCACCAATCGACCGCCATTTTCGGATGGTGCCATCATACGACGCGGAGAAAAGGTATGCGCCATCTCTAGACCAACACAACGACGTCACGACGTTTTCATGTCCCTTGATCTCGATAAGTAGCTCGCCATTCTTTGACCACACACGAATTGTCCCGTCCTCCCCGCCGCTCGTGAATTTGTCGCCTTGTGGAGAGTATTTGACAGCATAGACCCAACCGTGACCGGTCTCTATCGGTGGTGCAATTTGTCGGCCGGTATCCGGGTTCCAGCGTCGTATGGTGCCGTCGCTCGATCCACTTGCTATCTCCAGCGCATTGGGAGACCAATCGAGGCACCTCACTTGGCCATTGTGGCCCTCCCACGGATCGCCAACTACACTGCCCTTCTTTATGTTCCACAGCCGTGATCTGCCGTCTATACTTCCGCTCACAACCACAGTTTCATCAGGAGATACAGCCATAGAGCCTATCGGGATCCCATGGTTATCCAAAGGTTTTCCTACTGATTCTCCGTCTATTTTCCACTGGCGAATCAAACAGTCGTTCGACGCGCTCAGCACATTGCAGCTGGCACCCACGCAGGCAAGACTCCATATGGAGCGGGAGTGACCCCCAATGATGCACTCCGGCATCAAGCCCCCTGCTGGTCGTTCTGGTATCGGTTTCTTCCAGGATGTGGTCCGAGTGTTGTGGTTGACGAAGTAGGACCGACCGAGTGGTGAGATGTGCCATTCACATCCACTGACAGCAAGATCTCCAGGATGATCTATGCTTTGTCATGAGTTCCTCGCTCCCAGTGGGATGGTCTTCGCTCAGCTAGACGCACTCCTGGTAAAGGTCGGTTGACTGAAGCTATGGTGATCGCATCGTCTTGATATTGTGTTGTACCATCCAACACCTTAAAATGTTGCCATTCAGAAGGGAGCGCTTCATTCCCGCCTGCATCTTGTTAAGTAAGTCAGTGGCCATCCTGATACTGTTTGCTCACCTTCCCAAATACCATCCTGCCGATGCTGTGCACCATATGGCGGTGGATCTTTCTCTCCCACTAGAGGTCTAATACGTGCTGATGAGCCTAACGGCGCTTCTCTTCCTCTGGCTGAGGTGCTTGACTCAGCCTCTTCGTGGGGCATAATCCTGATTGAGAATGACGTGCTTTACAGAGGGGCGGACAGTAAACCTTGAGACAATGCGCGAAATAAGAATCGAGGAGAAGATATGATGGAGGTGATGAATGGACCTGCTAAGCGCTCAGATTTGGATGCTGTGTTTGCAGGCCCTTGGCGGCCCGAGAATACGTGTTAGTGGCGGTTATGCTGATGTTTTTATTGCGATGCACCTCGGTTTGTTCTGTCTTACATATCACCACTTGTACCAGCGATCAAATCCATCGGCGAGCGCTAAGATATGGAATTCGCTTGAGCTTCATATATCCAAATACCTGGACAAGCAGTGAGAGGTGATTTTAATTGTAAAAATGGACATGCAAACGCAGTCACACGCCCAGTTTGTGCCTCTGGAAAGTGACTAAAGTAGAGAGGAATACGTGGTATGTATACATACATTGTTATCGTGGCATTCAACGCCCGAGCGGAGTCATCCATGGATGGAAAACCATCCTAGTCAATGATCAATATCCTCCAGAGCGTTAACATACTCCCCATGCGTATCTGGCGTCCAGTTCCGCACTCTTTTGTCACGACACTGACTCAGGTCGCCAACCACCTCCCGACTCCCAGATCACGTTCCCATCGAATATCACATTCCCTAAGAAAACCTTGCGCACCACTGAGAGCGGGGTTCCAGAAAGCAGAGCTGACTTCTCTGAGGGTGGTTGCAACGGGTGAATCTGAAGAAATTGATAGAGGGGGAGGATGAGGAGAAAGAGGAGGCTTGAGCCGAGTACACAGGTGAGGGTTGCAGTGGTGAATTTTAACTCTGAAAAGAGGAGTGCTACTGTACCAGTTCAAACACGCGTATGGATGGCGGGCTTGAGCATGTATGTGCCATATGCCTTCCGTTTCACGACTTTGGCGAAACATCTTCTTTTTTGCTTTGCAATGCACGAGGATTTGTGTACGTCTGCGTAGAGGTATGATTGGGGTAGGCTGGGGATCTGAGCCGAGGGGAAGCCACTACCAGCCCAGCACGTCAGAGCCGCCATCAGATTTACCATCGACGGGTGAGTAGCATTGGTAAACGTTAACATTCTTGGAGCGATCATTGCTTCTGTTCCACGCGTGCGCGTGAAGGCTATAGAGCTGTGGCGAAAACAAGGTACCAGCAGTGTGACGTAAAAAGACCTCAAACACTTCGTGCTATTCCGTGGCTCCGCGGAAGCGATCTGTCTAATTTTCAAAATACACCATCCCACCACTCCATGAGCCTCACCGGCACCGCTCATGCAACTGATCAAATGATCTTGTCTTTCGATTCTCAATCGGACGAATTAGAATGATTACATCTAGGCGATGACGAGAAAGTGGACGAGCTCTTGAATTTTCATGTTGAGTGACTTTACTTACGACAAAATATACAAAACACACAATCCGTCTGAATGATACACAGATCCGCATGAGCTATGAGTTTCGTGGCCATAGACATAAGATAGCTAACACGATGATCACATTGTTGAGTTGGAAAGATGTTGGCCGGTTACTCAACTGAAGAGTCGTTCGAAAGAATACGCATACTCACTCCCAAAACTGAGGGTGATGGTAATCCACCCACCATCCCAGCGTGTGCCGAATCGTCCTCTCCAGGATATGCACTTGGCGGTGCGTGGGGCAGTACTCTCATCGTTTGGATCCTTCCACACTACAAGCAACTGCCGGACGTAGTAGGCGACGCCATGTACTCAGACAGTCCAACCACCTGGCCACGAGTGACTGCAAATGGGAAGACAGAGAGATTGTTGGATGATGGAGGAAAGTTTAAGAACATGAACGTCGGGGTGTCGAATGTTTCGCCTAGACGAAGATGGTTGAAAGCGATGGTGGCCAAATGCTTAAGGCCCGTCGAAGGTGTCGGGAAATTCAAACTGACGATAGCCATTTGCAGCTTGGGGAGGTCTTGCGAGTGCGAACTGAGGTTTACCTTCTGTGTGTTCAGCGGGCACCGACCACTCCGAGTTGGACTCTTCTCTTCGAGGTCTGAACAAAGGACGGTAAGGACCGGATAGATGTGAAGTCTCACCCGAAGTGCTCTTAGATCTCGTTCCAGTCGGCCTGCAGTGGAGGGCAGATTTCGAAGCAACTGAACGAGTCAATTAATCGGTCTCACTACGTAGGACTGAGATTGACTTCGTTTGTCGTTTGGACAGGCGCACATGCATGTATTCTGTCAAATTTAAACACTGACCTCCTTAAAGTTCTTTCATCTGACTAGCAAGTCAATGAAGTCTGCTCGTAAAACTATTTCCTTTCGTCCTTCACGCTCTCGGTAACGCTCGAACTTTCAAGACATTTGTGGAGTCTGAGGTATGGGATGTACTGTTAGGCACGCACTCGTTTGAAAACCGTGATAAGAAACTGTATGGCTTTCATCTACACGGACAAGTAAAATACAACGCTCACGAGGTGCATATCTGGGTGCGAAACAGTCTGTAAAGCCCACGAATTCTAGAGAAAAAAACATCCAAACAACTAGTTTAGTAATTGTCCTCATGACTGATGCGAGGTGGGACGACGACGACCAAAAAAAAATCCAAAGAAAAACCCGCAGCAGCTCAGTGCTTGATAAGAAGCATCTCCCATCCCACCACCTGCTCCTTGCGTTCCTGTTGTTTGCCCCTGAGATGCTTGTGTCCCTGGCACAGCCTGAGATTGACCTGCTTGCGTGTCCGTCGGGAGTCCTTGAGACGATTGTGTGCCCGACAGAGCTTGAGATTGCCCTGCTTGTGCGTTCGTCGGGCGTCCTTGAGACACTTGTGTTCCCGACACAACCTGAGATTGACCTGCTTGCATCGAACTGCCAGTCTCGTTGCCATTCGTATGTTGCGCAGCTACTGCAGCCGCTTGTGCGCGGGCCAATTCTGCTGCGCTGGGAGGGGAAACATAAATTCTCTACAAATGTATTATTTTCCATCACATCACGAGGGAGCACTGGAAGCCACTCACACTTTTCTTGCGACCGGCAGCTACATCAACAGTATGTATAGAGCTTCCTCCTTGAAATAAGTTAAAATTCCAATGCCGGGGCTCGCGTGGTGTTGATTGAGGCGAATTTGGAGGTCGTGTGCCAGCACGCAGGGAACCAAACAAACGACGAAGAAGAGATGGCGGGCTTGCAGGCGGAGCTGGCCCATGGTCTGTATCGCTACCAAAGAAATCATTGCCCTGTATCAAATGAATGTTAGCCAAAGCTAAGAATCGAAAAATAATACTAACATATCTCCCCACGCCTCGAGTGTTCGCGAGCTGTTTGGAAACGATTGGATGTCTCTGGAAAGAAGGTGAGATAAAGTGTGAAAGAGATATAAAAGACTGACTCACCTTGAACTTCGCCTCGGACCTTGCATTGGCATCATCCGTACCCTAAACAACAGCAAAAACCTTCAGAATAAGGAAAAGACGTCGAAATACAATGCAGATGCGCACACCCTGCTGTTTGAGCGCTGCTTCCACGCTCCATACGTAAATCTTTGCATCTTTTCCAGCGCTGGCAATGTATTTTCCATCGGAGGACATGACAACAGTTAAGAGTGAGTCGTCATGCAAGAGTGGGTCTCCGACTGGTTTATTGGTCTTGAGGTCCCAGATGCGAACCGAGGAGTCATTTGATGCACTAACAAGATGACTTCCATTAGGGGACAGACAGAGGGATTTGATGGGATGGTCATGACCCTGAAAAACAATGAGCTCCTTCCCATCAATGGACTGCCACTTTCGGATGGTGCCATCATACGACGCGGAGAAAATGTATACGCCGTCCTTGGACCAACACAACGATGTCACGAAGTCATCATGTCCCTTGGTCTCGATAAGTAGCTCCCCGTTCTTTGACCACACACAAATCATCTGGTTCACTCCGCCGCTCGCGAGTTTGTTGCCTTGTGGAGAGTATTTGACAGCATAGACCCAACCGTGACCGGTCTCTAACGGTGGTGCAATTTGTCGGCCAGTATCCGGGTTCCAGCGTCGTATGGTGCCGTCAGTCGATCCACTTGCTATCTCTAGCGCATCGGGAGACCAATCGAGGCACCTCACGTGGCCAGTGTGGCCCTCCCACGGATCGCCAACCATACTGCCCTTCTTTATATTCCACAGTCGTAGTCTGCCGTCCACGTTCCCGCTCAAAACCATAGTTTCATCTGGAGATACAGCCATGGAGCTTGTCGAACAATGGCTATCCAAAAGTTTTCCTGCTGATTCTCCGTCTCTTTTCCACTGGCGAATCGAACAGTCGGTCGACGCGCTCAGTACATTGCAACTGGTGCCCACGCAGGCAAGACTCCATATGCAGCCGGAGTGACCCTCGATGATGCACTCCGGCATCAAGCTCCCAGCTGGTCGTTCTGGCGTCGGTTTCTTCCAGGATGTGGTCCGAGTGTTGTGGTTGACAAAGTAGGACCGACCGAGTGGTGAGATGCGCCATTCGCATCCACTAACAGCAAGATATCCAGGACGATCTATGCTTTGTCATGAGTTCCTCGCTCCCAGTGGGACGTTCTTCGCTCACCTAGACGTACTCCTGGTAAAGGTCGGTCGAATGAAGTCATGGTGAGCGTGTCGTCTTGATATCGCGTTGTACCATCTAACACCTCAAACTGTTGCCATTCAGGAGGGAGCGCTTCATTCCCGCCTGCATCTTGTTAAGTAAGTCAGTGGCCATCCTAATATGATTTGCCCACCTTTCCATAGAGCATCCTGCCGATGCTGTGCACCATATGGCGGTGGATCTTTCTCTCCCACTAGAGGTCTGATACGTGCTGATGAGCCTAACTGCGCTTCTCTTCCTCTGGCTGAGGTGCTTGACTCAGCCTCTTCGTGGGGCATAATCCTGATTGAGAACGGCGTACTTCACAGATAGGTAGACAGTAAACCTTGAGATAATGTGCAAAATCAGAATCGAGGAGATGGTATGATGGAGGTGATGAATGGACCTGCGAATTTACATGCTGTGGGTGCAGGTACCTTGTTTAGAATGCCTATGATGAACCTCGGTTTGTTCCGTCTTACATATCACCACTTGCACCAAATCCGTCGGCGGGCGCTAAAGAAATGAACATGCAAATGCAGTTACACGCCCAGTCGGCACCTTCAAGAAGTGTGACAAAGGTAGAGAGGAATACGCGGTATGCATACATACAATGGCAGCGTGACACTCAACTCCCAAGTCGGGTCATCCATAGACGGACAACCATCCTAGTCACCGATTGATATCCTCGGAAGCGTTAACACACTCCCCATGTGCATCCGGCGTCCAGCTCTGCACTCTTTTGTCACGACACCACAACCCAGGCCGCCCACCACCTCCCGGGTCACGTTCCCATCGAACATCAAGTTCTCCTCGAAGAAGACCCTGCGCACCACCGAGAGCAGGATTCCAGAAAGCAGAGCCAACTTCTCCGAAGGAGGTTTCAACGGGTGAATCTGAAGAAATTGGTGGAGGGGGAGGGAGGTGCACGAGTAGAAAGGGAACGCTGGATCCGAGTACACGAGTGAGGGTTGCGGTGGTAAATTTTGACTCTGAAAGGAGGAGTGCTACTGTACCCAGTTCAGACACGCGTACATTAGATTCGGAAGGGGAGCGGTCTTGAGCGTGCATATGCCATACGCCTTCCATCTCGCGAACGTAATTTGGCGAGAACTTCTTCTTCTCTGCTTTACATTGCGCAAGGACGCGTATGCGTCTACGTGGGGGTGTAATCGGGGTAGGCTGGGAAACTGAGCTAAGGGGAAGCCACCACCAGCCCAGCAAGTCGATGCCGCCATCAGATTTGCCACCGACGCGTTTGAGGGACATGGAGAAACATTCTTGAAGTAATTGAAGCGACCGTTGCTCGAACGCTGTTCCACGCGCGACTGTTGATAGCGTCCTATGCATCACAGCTTTACCTTAGTAGGACCTTTGTCTAAGATATGCCTGACCTAGGGGACTAGTATTTGAAAGTGCAAGTTTTGGGAGCCTGCCGGAGGTTGGGTTAGTCGGCAAAGCCAATCCGGGAAAACCCGGGCTACTTCACTTCTGCTTGAACCTCTTCCTCCACTTCCGAAAATCGATATGTCTTAGTGCGTGTGCATATCTCAATCACTAGCTACTGACCCACTGACTGGAATCTTGTTAGCGTCATCTTTGGCCGCGCCATTAAAACCGAGTACCTCACGTTGGGTACGCTCTTCGCGACCGGTGGTGCCGTGTATGCATCTCTTGGTGGAAAGAAAGATTCTGCATCGTCAGGCAAACCTCTTGCAGAGCGCGTGAAGGAGGCTGTACCCATAAATGCTGGATCCAGGTGCGTTTATTCTCATTCTCACTTGCTTGCAGACACAAGACTAACCGTGCGGTCTACAGTGAAGAGGAACAATTGTATGTGTTCTATAAGGACCAAACAACTCGTGCTGCAGCACGGACTGACCAGGATGAACAGTATCAAGAACTTTATTGCAGAAGCCGAGAAGGAGGGCGGGGTAGCGCATCATTGATTCGGGTTCTCGTATTAATATACAGTGCAAAGCGGCCAACATGTAGTTACCTTGATGAGACATACCAGCCAGTGACCTCTGGAAATAGAGATTTTTCTCGCTCTCATCTCGCTATGTGGAGAGTTTCCTTTTCGGTTGATATATATAATTCCAAAGTGACTGTTGCTTTGCAACTGCTCGATATTTATCTTGTGTGACAACATCGTTCTCTTGTCCATGTCTTCAACCATCAACGCCATCTAAAAAATGAAGTCGTCCAAGACCACGAATATGGACCATGGCAATGGCATTAAACACCTGACTCTCTTGAACACCTCCAGCTCGTCAACAGCGGCGAGTTCTCTCCCTTCCCCGCCCTATTCTCCCCCTCCAAGTTGCAGCACACCACCCTTGAGTGCCCACGCACGAGGCGTATCCCCCAACGACGCGACAAAAGCCCTCAAAGCTACCCGCCGGCAATCTTCCATCTCATACGTATCTTCCCGCGTCGATGTGTTCTCGAGACACGGGACATCCACCTCTCCAACCGTAGCTGATGCTTCGATAGGAACGGATACGGCACACGGAGCGGGAGGTCTATTCGAAGGACGCAAAAGGACCTCGCGCTCGATGAAGAGGCATACTATGGTAGGACTCGAGGAGTTGCGCGGATTAAACACAGTTGGGGAAGCCCGCACGCGTCTGTCCGTTGGGAGTGCCAGTGCCAGTGGGGGTGTAGAGAGAGCTGCGCTGACATTAGCTGAGAAGTACGTCCAGATCCCTGCATGCCTATATTGATGTCAACGGAACCTAAATCTCAGGCACGCCGACCTCCTCCGCGCAATTGCAGCCGCCGAGAGTAGGCGCCTCGAGCTGTCTGGTCAACTGGCTGCTGTTGAAGGGGATCTAGGAGAACGTGAGTCCCTTTTTGATGTTTCATTTCGTCCTTCTTCCTCGGTGCCGTCGTTCCGCACTATATCCGCCATCACATATGCCTCAATTCCTCATCAGAGCGAACTGACCCTCTCTTTTCCTAGTCAAGCGAAAATGGGAGCGTATCGTCAACCGCGAACCACCCCACCCCACCCTTCCCTTGTCCACACCCACCGCTTCAGTCGTAGATGGCCTCAAAGAAGGCGTAAGATTGCTCGCAGCAGGTCTGAGCGACCTAAGTGACCTTTCTTCTCCAATTCCCTCACCAGCTCCCCCAACCGACACAGAAGAAACAGCAGGGGTCCCGAGGCGTCACACGCAGCGTGTGAGCGACTCGTCCACGTCCACGTCAACGCGTTCGGGGATGACACAATTCTCGAGGAGTTCCGTGTCATCTGTCTGGGACGAAGACATTTCCCTTTCTTCTGGTATCGGCGCGGAACGACATTTCACGAATCGAACACGAGAAAGGGAAGCATCAAGAGCGAGACAGGAAAAAGTCTTTCGTCGGAGATCGCGCGATCTTTCGCATCCACCGACTGCATTTATGAGGCATGCCAGTTCCTATAATAGTACGAGTACCAGTGTGGACCTCGGGCGAGGCAGCGTGGAACTCGACTCGACTACAGAGGTCGTTCGGGATACAATCAATCCGGGAATAGACGCGTCCATTACAGCGGTGGCTTCAGAATTCGATGCAGATGGTGCAGGGTCTTCATCAAGCACAAATACACTCCTTAGCAAACGCTCCTCCGTTGTACTGCCTACATCGATGCCTGGCACCGGATCGCTCGCCGTAGCTGGTGGGTGGGGAAATGTCGGTCGCAAGCTTGGAGGTGATGTGTGAGTAATATTCTCTTCCCGCTTTCAGTTTGGTGCATTCACTATCGATGTTCTTCCTCCGATCACATTCACAAACTAACACCCATCACAGATTCTCCAAAAGCCAAAAGCGAGCTTCCATCCTCCTCGCAGACGTCTCTCAATCCATTGTATCAGCATTAACCCCAGGCCCAGTGGCAACCTCACCCGCACCCGTTCCTACATCAATGCAAACATCAACACCTTCCCTTTTCCCATTCCCCTCATCCCTCCGCACACCCTCAAGCGGCACCACCTCCCTACGCGGAACCTTACCAAGCGCTTCCGATTCCGATTCCTCACGCACACCATCATCAAACGCGAGCTCTCCATCGACGCGCTCCACGTTTTTGCACACTCGCACCAAAACTCATGCCCCTATCCCGCGCACAAATAGTTGGCTGGAAGATGAGGAAGATGAGGATACGGTGAATGCTGGGAGGGTTTTGATGCCATCTGTGCTTACGCCTACCTCTGCGTCCGCGTCAGTACACAAAACACCCGATTCACTCGCACCCGCCAAAGGAGGAACGGCGCCGAGTTTCGAAGACGACGATTGGAATTGGTAGCAGCTACTGTTGTCCGCTTTTGACGTCCTCTGGTTGGGTTTGAAAGATGAAGAATAGGCTCTGACTCCAAGTGTGCGAGGTGTAAATGGTATCGTATGTTTCTACTATAGATATTTGCATCTCCTTCATTCGTGCAGGCGGGTACGACAACGAGCTTTGATGATGATGATAGCGGTGGAGGATGAAAATTAAACGTGAGTGCGTGGATAGGGGTACCGTATTGTGAGTATGTTTATGTTTATATTCATTGTATTTTTTGTTCCGTCTTGTGCTCGATGCGTTGTCGCATTGAAATTATAGTAATTGCATGTACGCTTGACGAGTCTGTTAGGTTAGAATTTTTGCTCGCAGTAATCAACAGTGATTGACTCCAAGTGAGAGCGGGTTGCTATGTGGCATTCATGTGGATACAATATATACGCCGGCACAAAGTGTAAGATAATCCTTAGTAAGAACGCAAGAGACAGTTTCGCTACATCAGCCAAGGACGACCGAATCGCAGCAGCCAACTTTGTACGTGGATATCCGAGTCAGTGGTTACGGACAACGGTGTCGGGACCGGCATCGCGGCACGTCTCCCTAATATGATGATAATCCATCCTACTATGTACAAGATAGCTAGAGCGCAAGAATATGTATAAGGGTCATTTGTATAACAGGATGAAAGAGAATCGCAGATCAACAACACATGAATATGTACTAGACGACAGCAATACGACATAGAATTACACACCAATATGAACAAAAACCATCCTCTGCTCAAGCGGCACTTTCGTTTTCACCGAGTGCGTAGCACAGTTGAGTGCCCAGGCTGCCTTCGTGCAGTCCATGACACCACCATCCTTCAAATCTCCGAACATATACTTGTAGAAAGCTTCGACGACGTGTGTTGCGACAGAGTCATCGACCTCCCACAACGTGCCAATGACGCTCTTGAAACCCGAAAACTGGAGACCAGCTGCGAGGTGGATCACTTCGTCGGGCGTCTCCTCATCGCCGACGGCAGTATGACAAGCCGATAAGAACGCGAACTCGGCCTGCGGAACATGTCTCTCCATGATATCGAGCAGCGTCAGATGTTCGTCTCTCATGACAAAATGTGAATCGTAAGGCTGCGTAGGGTCCTGCTTGCCGTGACAAGCAAGGTGCACCCAGGTGTTCTGCTGCAAAGCTGAGAGTGCGCCTGCTCGTGTGGCTGCGTCGCCAGAAACAGTAGTGCGGTTGGCCATCGCGGGGACGAGTGTATGGACAAGCTCGAGCTCGCTTTCGACTGCCAAGAGCGCCTTGCCTTTCCCTGCACCTGGTTGACCCTGTCCGATAGCCACGAAGGAAGGAAGCACGCGTTTCTTCATCAACTGTCTAGATCTAATCAGAGCTGAAAGTGTCGGGGTGTAAGAGCAAATGTAGAGGTCCTCCAGGCATGGCTCCTTCCCAGAACGATCCGCCTTTGTTTGAAACGGATGAGCTGCATGGAGAGGAATGGACGTGAAAGCTGCAGTGGGACACAGCCAGATTCGAGAGCGGCGCTTTAGTTTGAGGACGTGCTCGAGCAAGTTGACGATGGGTAGCATGATTTGGTCCCATATTATCCGTGAGAGCACTATGAGATCCGTCCTCGACTCCCTTGGGTTCATCCGAGATGAATCTCGTATTGCCCTGGCGAAGCGATCCTTGAGATTAGTCAGATCTGCAAGGGTGACAGACGGCAAAGAAACATGATGGGGGTTTCCTGACGTCGGGACGATGATGGCGCTGCACGAGTATTGACTGGCAACGAGGATGATGACCGGTCCCTGGCGCGCTGCCGCTGGCAGATCTTCATACGAGGGTGGAAGCAGGAACCGCGAGAACGCCGGAAGATCGCGTATCTTAGCTATCGCGGCTTCCCATTGCCTTGTAAGTCTCCTATACTCTGTTGCTGCCCGATCAGCAGCAGCTCTGTCGGTGATGGTTGCAGAACTCTGGGCTGCATTGGAAATGAGCTTGCTCAGTTCCAAATAATTGCGCGCCAGTGTCGGATTTGCTGACTCGAGGTCTTCGACTGGAGTCCTGAGTCGAGATGCCAGCGACCACTGCTGACCACGACCCCGCTCTGCGAGTTCAACTGCCTGTCGCAGATCGTCATGACGTATGGCACATGAGGCTGCATCTACAGGCAGCGATTTGACACCATTGAAGGCAGTAGCAGCTTCACGTCGTGAAATTGTCGATGATCGCGTTGCCAAATGACCATCAAGAAGGTCGAAACACGTGCTGTATGCCTCTAATGCAGATCCATGATCATCCTGCTCCGCAGCAACGGTCCATTTGTATGCTGTCAGAATCCGTTGTGGGAATCCTTGAGTGGGGTGCCGCGATGCAAGTCTGAAGTTCTCCACTGCATGCGACAAATCAGCAGGGTTGTGTGAAATCCGGTAATGAGATAAATAGGCATTCTTCAGCTGCATGTAGCTGAAATACCTGCCCGGGTGCAATGAAGATGGAGCCGCCAATGATTCTTGGCAAAGAACAATGGCCTCCTCGACATCTTCATTCTTCTGAGTTTGCGTGAAACGAGAGCAGAGCACCGAGCTCAAATTGCGAAGAGTTTTATGGCGCCCTGGATGGTCAGGCCGCATTAACCGAAGGGATTCACGATATAAATCAATGGCCTCGTTGGAATCCTCGCTAACATGCGTTTTGTCATATCTGGTTTTGAGCGCGAGCGCCAGGTTGTGCAGCGTGGTGTCACGACGTGGATGCCCAAGTGGGCGCAACGTCAGTGCTTCCCGATAGAGGCTGATGGCTTGGGTGATGTCATCAATGTCGCCGCGTTCATTGAAACGTTCGACGAGAACGCCCCCTAGGTTGTTCAATGAGAAAACACGATATTGGTGCCCAACAGGATACAGGCGCAACGCTCCTTCGTGCAAAGAGATGGCCTCATCGAGGTCATTCAGTTTGCCTTGATGATCGAATCGCAATGCAAGTGAAAAGGCCAAGTTGTTCAGGTAGGTACCATGGCTAGCATGTCCCTCGGGGCACAGAGACACGGCTTCACGACCAAGTTGTATGCTTGTGTCAAGATCATCAATGCTGCCGTGCTGATTAAAGCGTTCTTCAACCGCTTGTGCAAGCTTGTCGAGGGCTTTCGGACGGAGTTGATGGCCCAGAGGACAGAGCTCGAGGACGACTCTTCGAAGATGGATGCCTTCATCAGATGCGTCTTTTGGAAGACTGTTGCATCCGCCGATCACATAATTGACACCATTCTTCCCTGCCGCGATGCTACGAAGGTAGGTGCCCTCTGGACAGAGAGGCAGTAGTTCATGATACAGTTGGGCGGCTTCGCGGATGTCGGCAGCAGTACCTTTCTTGTCGTGACGCCAATTCAGCGCTTCGGTGACATTATATAGAGATAAGGGATAATCAGGATGGGGCTGCGGACGCAATGCAAGGGCGTCGCGGAAGAGGGAAGTGGTGGCATCGATGTCATCAACATCATTTCGGATGTAGCCTTCAAGGCAGGCCCGCGCGAGGTTGGTGAGAGCCGTTGCATGGTCTGGATGGCTGACCGGACACTGGTCCAGAACCAACTGAAAATGCTTTACAGCGTCGTTCAGGTGAGAGACTGTCTTGCTCGTCACATATGCGGCAAATTGTGCGTGGCCCGCATCTGTGTCTCGAGCAATCTCGCAGTCTGCGAGGGACTGCAGTTTGCGTTCTGTCAACAAAAGCTAACAGGACAGAAACCAGCGTCACTCACATCAAACAGTGCGTCGTCCTGATCGTCGCAAGCATGCACAATGGCGGCCTTCAGCTTAAGGGAAGGTTTGACACCGAACACGGGTGGGAAGGATATATCTACGAGACGTTAGTGTATGTGCATAAATGAGAAGCGAACCACCCACCAAATGGCTCATCTCCATGATCAAGTAGCTCATCCCACGACATTTGAAGTTCGCCGATGACTTCTCCACCGCCTAGCATTCGACCAAGCTCAAAGGGCGCCCTAATCTCCACTGACAACGCAGGTGAAGAGTGTGATGATCTACAAACTGACGATCAGTTTTCGCATCACGTCAAAAAGTGTCCATGGACTTTACAGAGTGATAGTATCCCCCCAAGCTACAGATTCATCAGATGATAAGACACCGATAGCTGATTTCCAGCGCCTCCGGGAGTCGACATTGATGGATATGTAGATGCCAGCAGGAATGCGGCAGGAGGGGACCTGAAGACTCTTTCCGCTGATGACTGTAGATATTGTGTGAGGATGACAACAGATACGAAGGTGGATCGGAGGGGCTCGCCTTCCAGTCTGATATATCGACTTTCTGAGGTACCAGGCATGATGGTGGATGGAGCAAATTGATGAGGATCGAGGATGGGCTGAATGGGCCACGGAATCAGTAAGAAGGAAGGATGAGGGTAAAGATATGGGGAATGTCAATAGAGTTCAGCTGAGAAGGAGGTTGAGGGCTACACGTGTATTTCCACATTGTCGAGGCTGTTCACGATATAGACGCTGGTATGATTGCACTACGCGCTGGAAATGGAGATCACCGACCAGTCTTCAGTGAAAGTGGCCGGTCGAGGTCGAAGGGGGCATGCGAGTCTCAGAGTGATTGGACTTGCATCGTACTACCCAGTTAGCACACCAAGTCAAGATGTAGAATCAAGTGTATTTCGTATGGTAATGCGAACAATGTTAAAACCACTGAAGACGTCACGCTAAGAACCGAATGATTGTATACGACTCATCGCATCAGTAAACCGGTGAGTTCTTGCTGGGGATTATGCTGATTATGGTGCTTTTACATGGTCATATATTGCTTTATATCACTTTATATTACAATGTGACGAAAACCTTTCCTATATATTACGATATATAACGATATATGACGATATCTTCTTCTCACAGGTTCTCTGATGACTCCAATTGAGCTGATAACGAAAGGAGGATGATCTCGGCTGGATAGAAGAATGAGAACAGAATGTCCACTTGGAAAGCGAGGATGCAACCTACTGTATATAATGCTGCTGTGACCGCTGCCGAATGCATCGACTCAACATCGACTCGTGGTTCGTGCAGGCGGCCACTTAAGGCCTGACATGGGTCGACCCGGGTCATACCCAGGTGCTACCCGCGGGTAAATTGAGAAATAAAGTCATGTGCCAGGATGCCAATTCAAATTTCCATTTCAGTACAGACCGTGTTGCTTACGTGACGCAACTGCCACCCCACTACAGTGTACCACCGACATCAACGACTCGGACTCAACGTTTTGAAACACTTACTACATCATTTCATCATACATGCGCCTGGACGCTGCACCTCGTGGAATTCCAAAGCAAGGCGCGCTTTTGGTGTGTCATTTTTTGTGCGCGTTCTGAATCTTGTCCAAGGGTGTTTGGGCTTGTTTCTGTTGGTTTTCCATGAAACCACATTGCTGATCACCTTCGCGGTGTGTGTATAGCAGGTGTGTAGCGACTTGAAGCTCAAGTCTTTGCTCATTCTAACTGTTGTTCCAGGTATCAATCTTGTTCTTCGTCACTCATAATACTTTCCGTTGCACTGTGCTATCCCTTCTGACATGCTCTCGCAAACCCTCGCTGGTGTTTCCACTTTTTTGCGCGTCCTTTCAGCAGTTTATATTGTCTCTAGTATGAAATACACTGGATTTTACATTTCACATTACTATGTGTATAAGGCAATGGTACGATTCGACGATAAAAATTCCAGGAGTAGCAAGCCTCGCAGGATGCGCATGTTCCCTTTAAACTTGGCATGCTATTTTCACTGATGACTGACCTTGACGTTGCCAACTTTTTTAGCATGTACAACCTCTCCCGCCAACATTCAATCGTCGGCCATCGTTCTCACTACTTTGTAAAATCACACATGCATAATAGAACATCCTCTGTGCGTTCAATTCGCCTCATATTAAAATGTACTCAAATGTACAGATGACCCGTAGGCTCGTGGCCAGGCTGGCGTATACTACCACAAACAAGTTGATTGTGAGACTAGCAGGTACGCATGATTATAGCTAGAAACACAACAGACCTAGTCACAGTGAAAGCGCAGAATCAAACGCAAAACTCAAGCCATTGAAATTCACACATCCGCACAACTGGCGTCGGAATACAGGCTCTCACAGGAGCAATCAGTGCTATTTTGTACAATGAAGTTGCCCACGACGATCACAGACCGAATTCGCTCAAAACAATGCCTGTGGGGGCAATCGGCTGGACACAGGATAGCATCAGCAGTCGTGTATACAATATCACCCTTCAGAGCCAAGTCGAGATTCGAGCTGTGGTCCACGCTGCACTGAACGATTCACGGGGCGCCCTTGCCTACATGAGGGAGCATTTCCCTGATCCCATCCGCGTCTTCGATTCAGGCGCAAATGGAACCCTTTTCCATCGACAACCGTCGGCTTGCGACATACCGCATGGTCGTGCCTTCCAGCACCCAGATCCCAGTCAGGGTGTTGACTCGAGAGCAAGCGGGTCAAGCACTCTTGCGGGATCCAGATACGGCAAACGCTCAAGCCGCGTCCGCTGCCCTGCATAGACGTTACACCACTCGGGATGGAGGTTACTCTATCGTACTCAGGGTCGGTGCTAGGATCTCTGATGGGTGCTTCACGAACTCGCCGTTCATGGTATGTCCTTCCAACTTTCTCATGGATTGGTTCCGCTGACACTAGTCACGGTGTAGACGGCAGATACGGTTTGTCCATGCATGTATCGGGAGTTGTAATATACTGCGCCTCTTCAAGCGCTTGATTGTGCTGTCTTGTGAGTACTGTTAGCTATCTTGAATTGCCCTGTAAAGTCTTTGAAATTCGAGTTCATATCGTTTTCCCACCATGTGCTAAAACGACGTATCTTTGAAGCTATGTGCGGGCTCGACGTGTGTGACAACTGCAGGTCGTGATCGCATTTTGAGGGTTGCGTGCAGCTAGGTCTTCAAATTGACATGGAGCTCCTCACCTTTCGACTCGCCAACAGCTGCTCTGGTCCACCACACGAAATTGACCTTATTCCTTTAGGTGCATGCGTAGTGTTTCTGACCTAGAATTCCATCGAGGTACATCAAAGCTGTGAGAGATACGGGTCTCAGAAATTGTTGCTATCGAGGGAGCCTCGCACTTCCACCTGGTTCTGGTTGAGTCAGTCTGTGGGCATTATCATGGAGTTGGCCACTCTTCTAAGGTGCGTCATGGTGGTACTGCACAGGCGTCCGTTTGGAGGGATGTTGGTGAAATCGTGTAATAGTGATTCTCCTTCTACGTCTCTCCCGCTTTGCTGACGTGCTTGACTTGACCTCGTCGCGCAGTAAGATTGAAGGTCTGAAAGTATTGTGCTTTACGGACGGAGGACAGTACTAGTGATCGAGGCTCGTGAGGCGAGAAGTGTTTATGATAGAGACTCGCTAGAATTATAAACGTCAGTTTTGCATACTGAAGAGCTTTAATTTCATGAAGAGCAGTGTCACGCTGGCATTACGCTTTCGTCTTGATAGATGTATAGGATCTGTCGAGTGCGCTATTGAACCACTGAACCTGATGGATGAACTGCATGCCGAGTTTGAAGCTTTACAAAACCTCCTAGGGAATGTCAGACGCTGTGAAGAACAAAATTTATACCATAAACCGGTGAATGGTGACCATCATACGTGCACACCTGGAGTCTTTGGCTGGCCTATAAAATCACGGGAATACTTTATAAGTAATAATGCAACGAAAATGAGTTGGAGACTCTGTCATTTGCGTGTACAGACGTTCTACTGCCCAACACTGTCAAGCCTGCTTCAGTGGTGATGCATTGATGCATGATGGGAATTATGCATTATGATTGATTTTGAATGAGAACACGTAGGAGATGACCAATCTGTATGAGACAACGCAGAAGTCTGGCGGACAGGTTTGGGCAACGTCTCGGGGATGCCTCGGAGTGCTTGGTCTGGTGGTCAAAGATCTATTTGTCTTGCATCACGGTCACACATCCCAATCACCGTCATGCGAAATTCATCGGCTTCGATAACGAGATTATGATGGTGTTGGAAGGAGTGAGAGAGAAGCTTGAAGATATGGAGGTGACGGTGATGCCATGATAGAAATTTTGGATTATGATTGATGTCACGTCTCGGGGATGCCTCGGAGTGCTTGGTCGGGCAGTCAAATATCTGTTTGTCTTATTACACCACGGTCACACATGTACATCCCAGTCACCGTCATGCGAAATTCATCGGCCTTGCCGTCGCCATTTTAGTCACCTAGAGGGAGCTGGGAGATGCAGATAACGAGATTGCTATCCCTCCTGGCTGAGTCGTTTCGAGCGGCTATCTTGTCGTCGCAGCCCGTCGTGGTATCGGTTTAAAACTCCGCCACGGCAACGTTCGGCTGGCTGTCACCAGCGTGACTTTGATTGCTTTCAAAGAACTTGACCATTTCTTCGTGAAAATGAGTCGTTCAACCTCGCAATGAACGGTACGTATTAGAAGCATTGATTGAAGCTGTAAATTATGTGTGGAAGTAAGAATTGAGTGAGATATTTAGGTCGTGACGACTCAGCCAGATGCTTGAAGGTGATCGGGCAGCTGAGCCGGATCCGAGAGAAGGACCCGATTTGTTTTTCGGATCGACTCGCTTCCTTTGCTCGTCCAATGTACTAATCTAACTTGCTTAAGTCGGTGCGTTTGCAATTCATCCCTTCTCGTGATCAGAAAAGTATTTGATCTACTGCGAGTACCTACGGCTAGCGCTCAAGCGTTCATCTCCGTCCACGCTGATGCATACTGTTGGCATGCCTTTTATCTTCTCAATGAACCGACCTGAGGTAAGTACTTACGACACGCATGAGTGGCGTAGTCGGCCAATGAAAAATCATTTGTCGTTTATCGGTTCATGTTCCGCTAGTAATTAAATAGAACCTCCTGCAAACTTTCGATGGCCAGTTTCCAAACTTTTCTCCGAACTAGATCATAATGGTCGCATTTGCTGACCTCTCACTCTCCTTTCTTTTCGGCCTCTCTGGCCTCACAGCACGCCATGATGATACCTCCTCAGAATCTCACCATGCAGAACATGTCGTTCGAAGTCCAGTTTGCGAGCAGATCGCATCGGAGGTCTCGTCGAGTTCCGTAGTGTATTACCCTGGTGCGTACTTCCAGTCAAGTCTCTTGGTGACGCCTGACCTATATTTCTACAGGCTCGTATCAATATTTCAAGGACAATTATCACTGGTCTGCATCTAGTACTCAGAGCTCTCAATGTACCTTTGAGCCTACAACAGCTGATGATGTTGCAATCGCGGTATGTGCGAGGCGAACAAA